ATGTTTAATGCGCTCAAAATGGCGAAAACTGTCCTGAAACCTTGAAATAATCGAATTATCTCACTATTTTGCAAACATATGGTTAAAAATTCAAAATATCCAAATTTTATGTATGACCATATTAAAGTATAGGCTTTCAACTATTTTTCCTCAAAATTTGAGCCAAATCGAAATAGTTGTTTTTGAGTTATGAATTTTTGAAAAAAAAACAGTTTTTTGAATCTACTGCGCATGCGTTTAGAGATATCTTAAAAATTCCAAAGGCATTGGATTCTTTGGAAAATGTCCCATCGACTAGTACTTTTCGAATTTTTTTTTACCAAAATTTACATTTTGTCAAGCAGAAATGGATTTTTCAATCGTTATTTTGAAAAATGACACTTTTTTCTAAATTAACGATTGTGAGTGTGCTTTATGAGATAGGGACTTTATACTATGGCTTTTTGAGTATTTTGGGCGGTAGAATACGCTCAAAGTTTTTGAGCGAAATCGGTGACTTCTCACCGACAAAGTGGTGTGATTTACCCGTGGAATCCCCCTAAAGTAAACATTTAATAAATTTTGCTTCCTCGTGGAGGAAGCTATATCGTCTTTCAAATCAAAAAATTTTTTTCAATCTATGAAACAAATTTTTTTCTATCTATATACAAATGTGATATATGAGTCCTTGATGAAATGTCCGGATGTATGTGTGTGTGTATATAATGTGCGTGTGGATCCCGTTTTTTGTAAACACGATAACTTTAATAAATTTATATGGATTTGGATATATTATTTTTTTTAGTTTTTAATTTAATTAGTTCTTAATCAAAAATTTTTTTCAGTATGAAAATTTAAGTTGATATATAATTAAATCTTATTCCTTACGTCAAGACGAATCGATTGGTATATATAAAGTATAGATTTATTTTAAATTTAAAGAATTAATGAAAATTAAAATATCAAAAATTCACATTTTGGCTAAAAATTTTGTGTTTATTTAAATTCAAGTTAATATATTCGATAATTTTATTCCTTGCGTTAAATCAAATCGAATGGTTTATGTAAAGTTTATATATAAAGTTGATATTTTACTCAAAATTATTTAAAAAATTTTTAATTGTCAGTTTTTCAAAATATTTGAATTTTCCTTTTTTGTGATTTTATTTATTGCTTTCTCCACGAGAAAGCAAATTTTTTTGCTTCACAAAATCTGGAATCAAAATGTTTATGAAATGAATGAAAAATAAGCCACTACTTGTTTAGGAAATTTCGGTGCTGGGAAATTGTATTGATTTTTAACAAATGCGTACCATTTTTACAAAAATGGTTTTCTTTTATAGACTGTCAGAAAAAATTTTAAAAATGGATCTTATTTGTAATCTTCACAGTGGTCTAACCCCTTAAATAGCGTCATTTCTGACTAACAAAAGTATATGTTACATTATCCCACTAACGGGGCAAAACCAAAAATTGATTGTTTTGATCATAAACACTTTTCTCAAAAGCGCACACATGTGATATAAATTAAAATTTGGTCACATTCTTTACATTCATACTAATGAATATTCATATATTTATCATATTAATTAATTATCATCAATTATAGCGAATATTCAACATCAAAGTTAACTAAAGCACAGTTTTTATATGGTTTATATGATATGTAAAAATAAATCTGTTTCGTATGTTTCATTTAAGGTATTTCTTTCAACCTTTATAACTTAAAAAATCGTTTTAGTTGAAATATTTTTCAAATTTTTAGAAAATGTTCCTTTATGTAAGCTTTCTATCTGGTAAAAAATTTAGATTTACATACAGTCCTGAAATTAAGATATTTTGATTCAAATTTAAAAGAATATTTTAACTAATTTGATTTTTTAAGTATAGAGGTGTGAGAAATACCATAAATGTAAAAAAAATAATTTCTACCTCTACTTACCTCCAGAATAGAGTAAGATTTAGTTATTTAAAAAAAATTTTAGAACAGTCAAAGAATCTAGGCTCAAATTTACTAGTGTACGCGATTTAATTAGAGACGCAACATAAATAGGCATTGTTAATGATTATGTTCTATGCCGTTTAGTAAGAGCTCATTGTAAGCTAAAAAAAAATTTTGTGTTTTTAAAGTTGGTGATAATTGACACTCTGAGAGACTCCGTCATAATTATCCGCACTCATTCATTAAGTTATTGTAATATAGATAAATATACAGTTGAAGCTTTATATATTACATTGGATTATCATAAACGAATGAATGAATAAATGGGGATGTTTTTTTAAAACAGAGTGAGGGACATCCGTTAAAATCTGTTTTCTTTTATCTCATATAATTTTAAAGTTTTCTTGTCGAAAAGATGCATATGCACATTGGTTTACTTGGTGTAGAATTTCTAATCATCTAATAAAAGTAAATGAATAAGTACATTGCAAATCTGTGTTCGCCTTTTTGAGAAATAGTTAGGGGAGAGTGGGGAGTTGTGCAACGGGTTTTGTTTTTGCTCCAAAATTAATATTAAAACATTTTTTTGCACATCCGGTCATAAGGAACTTCTTGTACATTTATAAACACAACTTTTGGCATAAATAGTTTGTCCATTAATCCAATCAATGTTATAAATATTAACAATATTATTATTAGTCTGTTTTTCAATAATTTAATAACATTATTATTATTATGTAAGTTTATCAACAAAATATCAACAATAACTTTTAAATAATGAGAAATTTGCATAGAAAATGCAAATTAGGATGAAAAATTATTTAATATGACGTTTTACACATTTTTTCCCCATTGTGTTGCATAACTCCCCACTTTCCAAATTTTAGAAAAAAATACATTAACATTTGAAATAATTAAAAAAAAATTCTTTTATATGTCGAAAGGGTATTAACTGCAGATTATTTTCCATATACTCCCCTTTGTAGAAAACTTTAAACAATTCGTGAAAAAGACCTAAATACAAGAAGCAAAAAAAATATTTGGAACAAAGTTTTAACTCACACCCTGGAAAAATTCAAAAAATGCCTGCATATTTGAATAAATACTAGTAAAAAAGTTACATCTTAACGAGAAAAGAATTTGATGTTGGAACAGTTTTAACAATTATTATTTGATAAATATTAGCGTGTTCATTCACAACTCCCTACGTTGCACAACTCCCCATTCGCCCCTACAATTTATTTAAATAATTAATTTTTATTAGAGATGTATAAAAATTGACATGATAAGAAAAGTTCGATTCCAAAAATTTTTATTTGGCTAGTTCTCTTTGAAAAAAAAACCAAACCAAATCCAACAATTCGAAATTGAAATTTGGATGAATTTCAACTAACTAATATTAATTGGAGCTGATTTTAACTTTGATTGTAATTGATTTTTTAATTTGATTTGTTAGAATGTTTGAATAGAATTAATTTTAGGTTTGATAAAACAAAATAATGAACTGAAATTATACATTTTAATTCTTTTAACGAATAAAGTAGTCGAATTTTCAAATGATAAAAATTTGAATTAACCCACAGATGGTAATGTTCAAAAAGTAACGTTAACATTATTGTGTGTTAGAGTAATGCATTCCGCCTTATTTTTGTGATAACTCAGTTTCTGTAGCACCAATTTAAAAAGTTTTCTTTTCAAATAGAAGTATTTAACATTTCAGAAATGGAATGTATATATATATATGTTACGGTCAATGTCGATTTTTGGGCAAGGTCGACCTTGCCCACTCACTTTGGGCAAGGTCGACATTGCCCAGTCATTTTGGGCAAGATCGACAATGCCCGGTCATTTTGGGCAAGATCGACAATGCCCGGTCAATGTCTGAAAATATTCATGATATTCGGGTTTTCTGGGCAATGTCGACATTGCCCGGTCTATCTTGGGCAATGTCGAAAATGCAAAAAAATATATGTCTTCAAACTAATCTAACTCAGTCAATAATTAAGATAGAGACTTAAAACAAAATGCATTACAGAGATTATATGAAATTCCGAGTAATATGATATATGGATAAATATTTTCGGACCATTTGGACACTTTGTAACACTTGTTGAGAAAGGACGAATTTTTTGTAATTTTTTGCAGTTTCATTCATTTAATTAACCCTTTACATAATTTAAAAAAGTTGTAAGAAAATGCTAAACCTTGCATAAAATTCAATGTTGAATTCTCAGCAAAAGACTTAAAATATCTTAACACGTTCTTGAGATATAATCCAAAGTGCCTGACCATGTTTTGCCTAAAAATCACGTAAATACCTCAAAAACTACCGAATTTCATGGTTTTTAGGCAAAACATATTTGGAAACTTTGGATTATATCTCAAGAACGTGTTATGACATTTTAAGTTTCTTGTCCTTAAATTAAAACTGAGGATTCAACATTGAATTTTATGAAGGATTTAGAATTTTCCTACAATTTTTTTAAATTATGCAAAGGGTCAATTAAATAAATCAAATTTTAAAAAATTACAAAAAATTGGTCCTTACTCAACAAGTGTTACAAAGTGTTAAGAATGTGTGCAAAAAGTGAAAAATTTAAAATTAAGTGATAATATTTTATTATTAAACAACATTGCCCAAACATAAGTGAGCAATGTCGACATTGCCCGGGCATGGTCGACAATGCCCGGGCACTTGCATACTACTTTGAATATACTCGGGCAATGTCGACCTTGCCCAGTCATTTTGGGCAAGGTCGACCTTGCCCGAAAATCGACATTGACCGTAACATATATATAAAAGTGAAAAAAAAATTTTCTACGTTATTTTTAAAATAAAAAGTTAATTAAAAAATATAAATTTTTTTAATATTCATAAGAACTGGAGAAAAGGCATTATAAAATTTTTCTCACAGTTTCGGGATTTTCAAAAATTGAATTTTGAAGAAAAAATACGACAAATCAATCGTCTGAAAGAAAAATATAAAATTTTTGTGACGTTTTTAAAATTACTTTTTTACATTAAAAAATAGTGACAAAAATATTTATAAAATAAAATAATACATTATGAAATAATTTAAAAAGTATATTTTATTCAAAAGTATACAAAACGTAAAAGTCGCTGTGCTTACATGGTACTGACATATTTTCATCGAACAAATTGAACCAATTATTATTAAACAATATTTAACGATGTAAATAACAAAAATAAAAAAGAATGAAAATGGTAAAAGCAGGCTTAGCTTCCTTTGCCTTTAAACTTCCTAATCTCTTCGAAGATAACTAAGAGCGTTCACTATACGCTTCTTAAGTGCAGTAAACTGGAGTATTTCGGGAGTTATTTCATCAATTCTATGTAGCTCTTGAAGACTGGTAAGAATTTCTAAAAAGCAGAATCAAATTTATTGTAATTTGATTTTTGAGGGACACAGCTTTAAAAAATATATTGCTCATATTGCAGATTGCACACTTACTCTGAATATTCATGACATCTACATCAAGAATTTCAATAAAATCATCCTTAGAAACACCATTTGGAGCTCTAACTGCTGCTACGAAAGGAATTTGTTCCGGGAGCCAGTAACCACTCACAACATGATTAAGTCGCAATGAAAATTTCGTATCACTCTTTGCTTTTTGAAGAGCACTATTAGTGATTTCAACACCGGCATACATAACCTGCAATATAAATATTACATGTTAAAATAAATACACATCAAGGACAGAAATTAACAGTTAATATAAATCTTCTAATTCATTTTTAGATTCATATAATTACCCACGGATCTCTGGAAGCTATTTTTTTAATTACCAATTTTGCAATAACAAATTTACCAAGTTTTTATAGAGAAAAACGGTTTTACAGCTTGCAAGTGCTCCAAAAAATTTGAAAATAAAAAACAAATCCCTCCGAGGGATCCATCGAGAAACATTTCCTTTAACAAATGTATTTTGATTCTTTTGTTTTGTATGATTCTGTTGCAAGTTACAGAAAACATAGCAAAACACCTTTTGTTGGCACTTGAGGAGATTCACTCGCTCAATTTTCAATATCTTGCAATGAAAATTTATAGAAAAATATTGTTCACATACTGCACTGTTATATGAAAATTAATTAAATAAATTAAAACTGTATCGACAAAAAGGATTCTTCAAAATATGATTGTCTGATTTTTTTAACATATAAAAGAACATAAAATTAAATAAAATAAAATTACATCAGAATACAGCGTCAAATAAAGTCGTCAAATTTTTTCAAGAATCGTTTTTTTCGATTGGAATCTAATTTTTCTTTACAGTTTAGTTAAAATTAATCGAAATATGCGACAAATGATGATTTTTCACGTTTTTAAAAAAATTCTTAAAATTTGAAATTTTTCGTAAAATAGTTATTATTTTTAAATTCGTTTTTTTTCAATTAGAATTTGATTTTTCCTCATAGTATATAGCTAAACTTAATCGAAATATGCTTTAAATATTTACTCTACTATCTCTATTTCCTAAATAGTTTCTTAAAACATTTTCGTCAGGAAGTTGTTGCTGTCTGCCTGGTGCCATTCCTCTATCTCTTTCTCTCTCTTCTCTCATCATATTTCGGATGTCGTCTAAATTAAAATTATTTTGCGCAGCTGCATTTGGCTGCGGAGATACATTTGGAAACGAATCTATGACTCTCGTAAGAGTTATTATTTGGGCTGCTTGGGCAGCTACTTGTCTTTTTAATTCTTCGTTCTCTGTACGCAAACGATTACTTTCCTGCTCAGCTTCATCATTGGCAGAGGGTATCAAATTTGCAAATTGTATAGTCTGTAGAAAATAATAAAACCAATTTTTTAATATGAGAAACTAACTGAGTTTTTATAAGTAATTTCGTTAAAATTTGTTTTATAATAAAATATTTCTATTTTTAATCATATTAGTTATTTATATAGTTATAAATAATCTAATAAAAATAGAGAACGTTTCTTTCTTTTTTTTCTTAAACATTATTACTGTTGCTAAAATTTAAATTTATGTATTTCAATTTCAATTTTAAAAAATATATATTTTAAGGAAGAATGGGACAAACGCTCGGAACAAAAGTTAGTCCAAACCGACATTTTCGTGTTTTGGAATAAAAAACAATTTATATTAAAAACTTTTTTCAATGGAAGAAAAAAAAATTTAGTTTTCAATATTAAAAGTTGAATTTCAACAAAAATTACAATTCGCTGATGGTGGAAAATTTTTAGGCAACGTAATCTAAAAATGCTATAATACAGTTTTCTACTGTCAGCAAATTATAATTTTTGTTAAATTTAACTTTTAATGGCTTAAAATGTTGAAAACAAAGTTATCCATGCTTCCACTGAAAAAATTTTCATTACCCGTGTGGAAAAAGCCACGATCTTGCCCTCAAGAGTTCGGGGCCCCCGGCGGGGGCCCATGAGGGCTGATCCATATGGCGAATCCATGAGGGCCAACGTAGGGGCCCCGCATGGATCGCCCTCATGATCGATTAGCAAAATTTTCTAAGTCCAAAATTCAAATATTTTTTCATCAACAAAAAATGAATGTTTCCAATGATTCAGAACAACGAAAAACGCGTTTTTAATAAAAATATATTTACACTTTTTCGAAAATAACACTCACACTTATGGCAAAATAGATGAGGGCCATCGTAGGGGCCCCGCATGGATCGCCCTCATGATCGATTAGCAAAATTTTCTAAGTCCAAAATTCAAATATTTTTTCGTCAACAAAAAATGAATGTTTCCAATGATTCAAAACAACGAAAAACGCGTTTTTAATAAAAATATATTTACACTTTTTTTGAAAATTCACCTGAGATGATTCATGATAATAATCATAAAGCATATAATTAATTATATTTTATAAATTGCATTTGATTGGAAAATATAATTTAATATCTTAACTTTAACTAAATGATGTTAAGCACTTTTCTTTGTTAGGTATTTTTTAAGTTTAAATAGCATCAAGAAGTTAGCATTCGTTTTGAAGTAGCGTGCGTAGCGTAGTTGGTAAAGCGTTAGACTCATAGTCCGTAGGTCGTAGGTTCGATTCCCCCCATGCGTTAGATTTATTTATTTCTCAGGTTTGCGTTTAATCATTAATTCTATGTATGAATTAATTGAAAAATGAAAATATCCGTTAATAGTATGCATAAATTACATATTTTTAATTTATTAATTAATTAATTTATTATTACTTTTAATTATATCCGACAGTTAATTAATTAGAACGTTAATTAATAAATTCAATTTGAGTAAGAATTTAATTTAAAATTGAATAATTATTAAATAAATATGTTATTTATTCATAACTTAAGCTTATTTATTATTAATTAACTTTTATTATTAATATTATTGATTAAAAAACATTATGGCAAACTTGAGGGCAAGATGAGGGCAAACGTGAGGGCCCATAAGGGCGCCCTCATCGATGAGCATGTCGTTTCCATGAGGGGCCCCTATGAATCATCCATATGCGCCCCTCATGGCATGAGGGCGATCCATAAGGGCCCACATCACTTTTCCACATGGGTATATATAAATTATTTTTTTATTTAGAAACATGAAAGTATGTAGTTTTTACTAATTTTGGTTTTGACTGTCTATCCATTTTTCCTTAAATTAAAAAAAATTAATTATTCTTTTAATAGTTAGTTTTAAATGTATAAAATAGGTTCCTATTTTTATGTTTCTATCTCAATAGATTTTATTATTCGTAACACAAATTATTTCATTGCTTCTTTTACTTAAAATCCTTCAGCACAAATATGATAAAAACTATGAAAAAATAACGACGTTACTTTTTTACAGTAACGACGAAAAGTAACGGCGTTACTGTCGAAAAGGTAACGGTAACGAATTACTTTTCTGAAAAAAGTAACGGTAACGGTAATGTCATAATAATCTATCTAACAATTAATGTTACTTTTTAACTTACTTGCGTTGCCATTGGTCTTACAATAACTCTCTTGGCGGTCTTGTCTTTGACTTTAATGTCTGTATAAAAAAAGTAATTTTCAATCTAGAGGATTCCTCTAAAATAAATGCATATTTTCCTCTTCATTTTGGTATCAAAATTATTATTCTTCATTTAAGAGGATTTTCCTCTTAAATTAAATGTCGACATCCAAACCTCGTAAAATTGTTTTTAATGTCAAAGCCATCAATAAAATAATTATAATTTCAATCAAATAATAAAATCTTTGCAGAAAATACATTTTTAAATTAAAATTAAGTAAAATTATAATAGTTCATTTCAATATAATAATAAAAATTGTTTTTTAATATAACATTAACAATGTCATGTTTTTGGTTAATTATCAACATTTTATATTGATAATTAAAATACAAAAAATAAGTTTTCATTAATCAGTTGTAATGATCAACGAGATTTTCAGCGCAAAAATAATTTTAAAACATGATGATATGTTTAAAAGTTAACATTTTTTATAGGACAGAAAAAAATTTCATATATGAAATTATTTAACGTTTTAAAACTTTTTTAAAAAAGTAAATAAAAAGATTTAAAAAATTCGAAAGATTCAAAAATGGGGTTATAGTATTTCTATTTACCTGAGTAGTAAAATTTCACAAGAAATATCCAAATTTTTTTAAATCTAAAAATAGCGTTAAAAATTTTCATTTAATTTGAATTTAACTATATTTTCTGTATTTTTAATAAAGCAAATCCATTTTTTTGTCCTTTTTGTTGACATTTTACCAGAAATATTAAAACTGAAAGGTTAAAAAACAACTTCACAACTATTGGCGATTCAAACAGCTACACTAGCGCCACAGTTGAACTAATTTAGGCGTGACTCGCTCTAAAGCAGTCTCTGTTTTGACAGTTTATTTCAAATTATTTAATTATTCTGATATTTTTATTGCGTTTGTAAAATTATTTTTAAGCGTTAAATAAAAAAAAATAATTTAAAACACATGGAGTGCTACAGAGCGAGTCACGCCTAAATTAGTTCAACTGTGGCGCTAGTGTAGCTGCTTGAATCGCCAATCATACCCAGGGAAAGGGATCAAACGATTACATTATTTTTTTCCGTTTCCTTTTTTTAAATCTTCTAAATTTAAAACGGAAAATCTTAATTAAAGAGGAAAATACAAAAGGAATCCTTTTGTCATTCTTCCATTAAAATGAAGAATAAAAATATTCTACATTTCAATTGAATAATCTTGTTTTAAGAGGAAATATTTAGAGGATATTAGAAGAGGAATTTTCCTCTAAGTATAAGATTACTTTTTTTTGGGTGTACTTCTGTAATTGAAAAGTAATCAATAAAATAATGTTATTTAATAAAATAATTTTCAATTCTTAATAATCACTTGAACTAATTTATTTTTATGTATATTTAACTTTTTTAACAGAGCCGATGATTTAAACAATGATTTTAGTCAAAGAATAATTAAGTATAATAATAAAATTAAAATAATTAAATGAGGCATTTCATACGAGAATGACATATGATGTCTCAGATTTTCCTTAACTTTTGGGTTTTGAGAGACATTTTGATGTTAAATAAGTATGTAAAATTTGAATTAAATTTTTTTAATATTTTTAGAGATATTTGCATTAAAAAATTGTTGTAACATTTTTTTCTTTTTCTTATAACTTTTGTTCTTTTGATCCTACAAAAAAAAGTTCTGAATGTTTTTTACTCTAAAAATGTTAAAACTTATGAAAAAAATTATTGCAATAAAAAATTATTAAATTTCAATTAATTTATTTAAAAAATAAAATTTAATTTTACGTTTTAAACATGTTCTCCCTGTTTCTCAACCCTGAAAAAAATCAGGAATGAAGTTGATAATGTAATGAAGACTTTCTGAAATTTTTAGCTTGGCGTTATTTTTTGTTTGCCAGATAAAAATCTTTAAACATTGAAATGCATGCGTTAAACGCGCAAAATAATCATTGTACAGAGGCCCATTGAGAACTCTCACCGCATGTGATCCTCGCGCCTGCGCGCTAAATGATGGGCCTCTCTTACAACGATCGTTTTGAGCGCTTAACCCATGCATTTCAATGTTTAAAGATTTTTATCTCAAAAACAAAAAATAATGCCAAGCTAAAAATTTCAGGAAGTTTTTATTACACTATCAACTTCATTCATGTTTTTTTCAGGGTTGAGAAACAGGGAGAACATGTTTAAAACGTAAAATTAAATTTTATTTTTTAAATAAATTAATTGAAATTTAATAATTTTTTATTGCAATAATTTTTTTCATAAGTTTTAACATTTTTAGATTCAGAACTTTTTTTTGTAGGATCAAAAGAACAAAAGTTATAAGACAAAGAAAAAAATGTTACAACAATTTTTTAGTGCAAATATCTCTAAAAATATTAAAAAAATTTAATTCAAATTTTACATACTTATTTAACACCAAAATGTCTCTCAAAATCCAAAAGTTAAGGAAAATTTGAGACATCATATGTCGTTCTCGTATGAAATGCCTCAAATATTAACTGTTCCGATTTATATCATTATAATGATATAGGGTAAATGCACTAGTAGTCGGACACTGCTTCTAAGGTCGGACAATTGACTGTTTTGTTAAATAAACAGTAACGCATGCAATAATTACATTATAGAATATACTGGATGAAACTGTAGACTCTACACTTTCATTTAGTATATTTTTTAATGTAATTATGTTGCAATGCGTTACTGTTTATTTAATAAAATAGTCAAGTGTCCAACCTTAGAAACAGCTGTGTCCGACTATTCTTACATTTACCCAAATCAAAAAAGTTTACTTTACAAATACAATTAAACATTTTTTAAGTAATAGTTTTTTGTGATCAATTGTTGACAGTTAACATTATAATAAAAAAATAATAAAAAAGGAACGGTAATAAAATATGTTTGAAATTTCCCCGCATTTTTGGGATCAAAATTACCACAACCGGTCAATATTTAAACAAAATAAAATAAAAAATGCTTATAATTTTTAAGTAAAAAAAAATTGAATCCATTAAATAGAGGCTTATTATATTGTGGTTTTCTGAAATCCATGTAGTCTGTTAATTTTCACTTGAATTTTCACGAGGATTCAGTAATTTGTAATTATAATATAATTATAACAATTTATGTGAATGCTCAAGACTAAACGATAAATTGTTTACAGTTTTGTTCATAACAGAAAGTGGACAGTGGATTTTCTATTGCAAAATATTAGTTTTAATTACTGCTTTAGACAATATTTCTTTATTTCTATTTTCTCTGTTGAGGTGTCAAAATGACCTAACTTACCCAAAATTCACTGGATATTTTTAATTTAAATTAATTACTCTTTAAGTTAATTTAATCATATTGAGCTATAAATTAGATTTTCTTTAATTAAAAAATTCTTTGGTATGTCATTTTACACACATAATTTAAGGCAGTCTCCAAACACAGAATGTCCATCTGGAGACTAACGTTTTTTTTTCCTTTTTTTACTGCTTTCTGAAAGACATAATTGAAAAGCGAATGTTTCCTATATTTATTCTTAGGTAATTTTATTAGCACTTTAAAAACTTACATTAAAAGCTTTCGCTGCCTTTAGTCTCTCATCAATAAGGACAGTATTTTGTGACGTTGAAGCTGTCTCAAATGTGCGGTGAAAATGTGATTTTAATGCGAAATTATGAATTGAAAAAGAAAAAAGTGCGAAGCAATGCTTTGTTTAAAAAAATTTTTTAAGTGATAAAATAGAACTGTTACAATCAATTAAATTAATAATTAGTAGATTCTAAACCGTCATAGAGACAAAATAATTTATCAATTACTTTTTCATTAGGAAAAATTCAACATGATCATAAACTGAAGTATAATTATTAGCGCATGTGGCATTTTACTTGACATTTTCATTTAACAATTCTATTTGGATTGGAACAATTTTTTTCAAATTTTTTTTATAAAAAATAAATAAATAAGTGGTTTTTATTTTGTTATTTGATGAAAATTATGTAAGTTATGATTTTAAAAACTTAAAAGTCTCTAAATGCAGATGACTTTTGAAAGGTGTTTTTCTCTGTTATATACCAAAAAATAAAAAAAATTTAATACATTATGAAAATTATTTGTTTTTTCTTGATTATTTCAAATATATAATATAAAATAACTTTAATTGAATTAAAGCATTTAAAAAATTGAAATTACGGCTAAAAAGTAAATTATTTATTTATTAGCTGCTGGATCAAAGAAGGGCACATAAATTTGTCTCTCTGGCAAACGTTGGCTCTTGGCCACATGAAATTCAACTTTTGATTTTAAATATTTCTTATATATATACTTATAGGAAATTTGATTCCGCATCATTTTTCATGTTGAAAGAACATTTCACGATAAATGTCATATACGGAAAAATCATATTTTTAAAACATCACCTTAATACAAAAATTTCTTGTCGCCTATATGTTTAATGCAAGATTTTAGTTTCTATTTTTAGAGTATTATTTAACAAATCGGAAAGAATCCACTTTATTTTATTTATTTTTATTTATTTTAAAAAATAATGTTATTTTTACATTGAATAAAACTAGGGTCATTTGAGGTATTTGTAAACAAGGGGTAAATGTAAACAGTAGATATTGCAGTTTAATTTACAGATTTAAAATTAAGTTCGACCCCAATATTTTAACCACAGAACACCTGCAAGAGGTTCTGAGTATTGCCAATTTTTTATTTCGACAATTGATTGATACTCCAATTTCTCGCTTAATGCATCAAAAATTAAAAATCAAACTTTTACTCTTTCAGTATTTTCTCTCGCATTTCGATAAAATAAACTAAAGATTCAAACAAAAATTTATAATTACTCCTTATTAATGGTATAACAAAAATTGACTTTGATTTTCGACCTCTGTCAATTCAGTTAATAAATAATTAACATAATTTACATTTACCCCGAGAATTTTATAATATATCGAGGCAAAAGTTGTTTCTTTTTCATCTAGGAGACTTTTTTAAAATTTTTCTTGTCGGACCAAATAAATAA